GATTCAATGGGATCCAGATGAAACACGAGGCATGAGAGCATCATGCAGTTATACCAGCGTGAGACCATCTTAACTACCCCCGACTCTATCCTAAGAAATCTATGTACTAGTTTGAAGAGGTGCTTAGGATTCTCTGCCAGAGAATTCTAAATTAGTGGTTCCAAATCTCAGAGCCCCAGATATTTCTGGATGACAAGAGGCCTTGACTCCTGGAAGTAAGTCCAAGGACATCTGATTGTATCTGGAGAACTCCCCTGAACTACAGCACAGGATTCTAAGTATCTCAATAAAATACAAACCCCATCATTCCCCAAGAAACAGCAAGGACAGCTAAAGTGGTGTCAACTGACATGGTCAGTGTGGTGCAGGCAACACCTTCCCCCAAATTTTGTGGTTTTGCCCAGCAGAACTTCAGACCTGCTCTTCCAATATGCAGATGCTTTGGCACATACCAGGTTTTGTTTTGTTTTGCTAGTAAGGGGAAAAATACAGGAGGAAATAATAATAATAATATTAATAAATCTCCTAGTGATACTGTATGTATTTTTCCAGTGGGGTGTCTCAATGTGTCAGGATATCCTTTTTGGTGAAGGATGAGAATATTTGGGTATTCATTCCATCTTTAATTCAAAGATCTCAAACAGCCCCCAGCTGCTGTTGTACACATTAATGCATCTAATTAATTCACTTTGTTCATTTGTAGGAAGCAACCCGCCCACAGGAAGAAGGGGGCAATGCAGAAAAAAGCAAGCACTCCAGTCTTTTAGAGTTGAATGAAAAGAAGGTTAAAGAAAACAAACCCTAAAATTATACTTTCGTAAGCCTCTCATCTTTGTTCCCGAGACATCCACTTCTTCTGACAGTACAAATTATGATGCAACATACTTTTTTGTTTGTTTGTTTGTTTATGCATTTAGGTTGTCTAACATGATTGCAGTTTTGCAAAAACTAACCGTGCTCCTGGCCTAATTCAGTTTTACGCAAGCTTTTTGAAGTCACCGGGAAGAGTGCAGAGAGAAACAGCATCTGCAGGAGAATGCAGGGTGTTTTCGGCAAAGCCAGAGGAATAAAGACATAAACCAACAACCCATTTTTTTAAAAAAAACAAAACTTTTCAGGAATGCCAGTTATGCAAGTCAATGGTATATCATAAGAGCCACACAGACAGGGAGGTTAATTAGAAGTTGCAAGGAGTCAAAAGCAATAAAAGCTAATGAAGTCTTTAATCAGCTAAACGCTGCTGCAGCCACCACTTAGCAGAAATCCTGTTTGAGGAAATCAGCTCAAACAGATAGTAAGGAAATGTGGAGCCCTCACCGCTCCAAAGGCAGGCCAAAATAATTGCTCTGATAGCTCTGTTGTTCCAGTTCAAAAAAACAGATTTCTCCATGGCTCACAAGGATGTGCCGTGTTGCATATTCAATCCTGCTTTTCTCCCAGAGGTTTCTCTCTGGCTCAGAATGTAAACTGACCTTACTTGTATATACGTACAGGGGTATGTCTGATTGGGAGTTTCCCTGGGTACCTGAGTACACAGAAAGGATGGCTGGATGCCCTGGAGACTCCGTAGGGGGCTTTAAAGAGCATGCTCAACATCGTCCCTGGCGTAGTAAAAAACCCTCAAACCCAGATACCCTGTGTCTCCCATAAGTACTCAGGCAATCTGGAGGATTACATTTCCCATTCTCCCCAGTGACTGAGGTTTTGCCATTTCAGCATTGCAGGAGCAAGGGGAAAGCACAGTGCTCCGATGGTCACCAGCCTTGAGCAGTCATGGGGTTAGAGGAAGGGGTGAAGCCTAGAGGGCTCCCAACTCAGCTCGCATTGCCTTTCCTGAGAGTCCAAGACAAAAACCTGAGGCCAGACCCTTTCGTGGGGCAGGGCAGGCAAGAGTTCGGAAAGGGGAGGTTGCCCGTCCCTTGGCCTCCGCTGCCCGGGGCTGTCACAACAAGAAGGCTCTCAACTCGCGATGCTGGTGCTTCACTCCCTACCTTCACAGGTAGGGAGTGAAGCACCATTGTTTGTCTGTGGAAATCATTGCCTCATGGGTGCCACATTAAAAGGGGATTGGATAAATTCACACAGGTTAGGGTCATCCTTGCCTACTAGCCGGGAAGAGGGTGTTGAACCAGGGAGGACAGGTTAGGGTCATCCTTGCCTACTAGCCAGAATGGCAATGCATCATCTCCAGTAACAGAGGTAGGATGCCCCCCCTTCATCTATAAGATTTTGGAGAGCACAACATGGAGGGCACAACTGTTGGCAGGCCCCATGGAAGCAACGAACTAGCCATCTGGGGAAGAGGGTGTTGAACCAGGGAGCCTTCAGCCTCATTGTACAGGACTTGCCTTGTGTTAAGCCACAATGGTGGCTTAACGTTCCTTTTTTTGGATCACAATTCCCAGAATCCATCAGCCAATGTGACACGAGTGATACAGCTAATGGATTGTGGGAGCTTCCCCCAAGGGCTGGAGATGGGAGATACGTTTTGGAGACTGTCTTTCTGGAGGGTTACGGTCAGCTGCTTCAACTGAATGATTATACAGAATGTACTTCCACTTGCTTTTCTAACACCAATATTCCAGTTAGCTGTTTTTGTTGTTGAACTGTATTTATTGAATGAATGATCGCTGTACTGAATAGCAATTATATAATGAACAGCTAGCACATTTATTCAGGACATTAATACTGCATCTGTATTACAAGGTGCCTCTTTCCTGGTGTTGCTGTTATTTATTCTGCTGCAAATTGCTTTGGCAGAATTTTGTTCGACAAAAAATGAATACATGAGGTTAAATATGAATAAAAGGAACTGACTGACTGATTGGTTGCCCTTTTTATGACCTGGGTTGCATCTTAAAGCAGCTTTCCTCAAGCAGATGTAGAGGACTGCGACTCCCATCAATCCCCCTGCAACTGGCCACTGGGGGTTATGGGAGTTGTAGTCCGACTCAGTTGGGAAACCATGAGTTAGAGAAGGCTGCTCTAGGGCGACTGGAATAAAAATCAGATCAGCTTTCGACACAGAAGAAGGGAGCCATCCATTTCTGCTCCAGTTTAACTTTGCATGTCTTCATTCATAAATCCGTTCCATCCTTTTTAAAAAAAAAAACCCTCACATTATAGATTTCGGGGGGTGGGGGTGGAGAGAGAACAAACCTTGCCTGAAAATTCAAACAGAGAAATGTATTTTTGAACCTTTTTAAAAAAGCGTAACATCTAAAGGATAAGAGTGGATAAAGTCACACAGCACCAGCGTTTTGCCACGATGGCCTTCCTCAGTCACCCTTCGGCTGGTTGACAAGGAGGCACAAGAGTCAGTTTATTTCACCCTGGACCAATTTAGCTCTTTGTGGGTGGAGGGGATGAGGCAATGCAAAACCCTTCTCCTTCCGCCTCCATGAGGCAGCGAAGTGCTTCATGCTGCTCTTGGCCCAAGCAGCGAACGACGACGACGGCAATCCTTCCACACCAGTGGACGAACATTATGCGGAAAGAAAGCTCGCCGAGAATGCCAATTCTACAAGTTGGGGGAGGCTTCTGCTTTTTTTCTTTTCTTTTGTGCATGAACTCTTTAAGGTTTAGAAAGGAAGCATCTTTATCTTTTTAAAACCAGAAGCCAGTCCCATATTTGTTGTGCTTTACTTCTCAAAACAAAAGGGTGGGGGTTTTCACAAAGATGATTTAGCACAAATTACAGAGATGCAGATAGGAAAATAATAAGGATAAAGCCTTCTCTCTCTCTCTCTCTCTCTCTAGCCCGGAGGTCAGAGATCTCTCAAGGATGAAAAATCCCTCTTCAAGGTGTCCGGTCGAGCCAGTCATAAATGGAGGCGAATAACAAATTTAGCAATTTTTATAGACCCTCGTTCCTGTCTGTGTGCAATGCATAGCACTGCTTGTCCCCTGAACTGCAAAGAGGAAATTCTCACCTGCCTCCAATGTTTAACCTGCACCACGAACTCCAGACCTCTTCCTCCCCCCTCAGCAGACTAACTCCTGTGCTAATTCTTGATTGGTTCTTTAATTGCAACAAACAGGAAAAGTGATCAGCCTGGCTATATCAGCCTCCCTGTTTAAGCTCTAATCCATTTCGAAAAGCTTAAGCAAACCCCATAAATATTTAAATTAAATATCAGCCGCATCTGCTCTATGATCTTAATTAAGAATTAAGACCATGTTCTAAAGCGGGGGTACAGAAGGAGAGAATAAATGTGTGGCTGCACGAAGCCGGTTTGATAGCAGGGGCTAAAGCTGGAGAGCTTGGAAGATGCGAGGCCACTGATTGCTACAAGGATTTTAATCTACTGTCACTAGCCGAGTTAAGCTTTCTGTTTGACTTTAAAGTCTCAAGAGAACCCTCGTACAGAGATCTATCTATGAATAAGCTGCCAGAGGGGTGGGAGCGGGAACAGCAAGAGAGTGTCTTTGCAAAATGAAAAGTGGAAAATAAACTTTGCTCGGCTCCCAGGCTCTCATCTTTACGCCTGCTTTGTTGAATCCCACCCTGCTTTTAACAAAAGTTGGTACTCCTGAGTCAAGTCCCCACTGGGTGCTTTTTCAGTGGCCTGATTTTGCACGAAGGAGGATTCTCACCTTAGCAAGAGAAAGAGAGACCGACATTTACATGCTGTCTTCCTTATTTTGGAGGGAGAGAGCAAGGCAGCCTGTAAACACCCACCGCTTCAAACTCAAAAACGGGAATGTTTAGCCGTAAGATCTAAGGGTCAGATCCTGGCCAGGCTAGGATGATCAATGTTCCAACTCATTCAGAGGGTACCAGCATGGGGGAAGGTGTTTTAGGGCAGTGGTTCCCAACCTTGGGTAACCCAGATGTTCTTGGACTGCATCTCCCAGGAACCCCGGCCAGCACAGCTGGTGGTGAAGGCTTCTGGGAATTGCAGTCCAAGAGCTCCTGGCTGACCTAAGGTCGGGACCCCTCTGTGTCGTTCTGGAAGCTGAGATTCAGATCCCCCCGCTGGCCCATGAAGTTCACTCACCGACGGTAGCCCAGGTACACGGAATAGATCGCAAGCGAGAGCCTCTGCATTTTCTTGCCTTTTCAGAGTTGGCATAAACCAGGACGTTTTGGGCTTCTTTAGCTGTGCCACCTCCAATCTCATCCTGATGGAACATCCTCATGTCATATGTGCCTGAACGATGTTCTAAAACAGGACCTCAACGTAACCCGGCCACAGGCAGGAAAACACATGAGTGACCAATTATGTGCCCTTTGCCCCAACGGAAGCAAGAGGCATGCTTTAATGAACACAAGTACTATCAAGGCAGATGGGTGCCCTTTAATTCAAGGCATATTAGGCTGGTGTTATTAATGGTGGAATACTGGGAAGGAAAGCTCTGTCACAAAGACTTCTCTAGAGGGGAACCGTTGAGTGATTCCCCCCCCCCAATCCCCAAATTAAGTGATTCTTCATGTTTTGTTCATCCTCATTCAAAGGGCCTTTCTTGTCTCTACGGATCGCCAGTTCCAACACGGAAAGCCAAAGTCCACCGGCCTGCTCTTTTTCCACCCAGTGTAAACAAATGCTTTTATTTTTGTGTATCCCAAGCTGGCCAAGTGCTGCTGGCATTATGATGATATTATGTCATCCTAAATCATTTAGCCCCCTCCCCCCTCTTCCTGCACCACGGCTTCCTCCTCTGGACCTGACAGCCACGTCCTCTGCAAAGCCAAGAGGGCAGATAAAAGCCTATCCTCTGCGCCCGCCCGCCTGAGGAGCATCTCCTTCTCCGCACGCCCTCGGCTTTAATTAGCATCCCAATCGCTTTTTTTCACACATCCCTCCCAGGAATTTTCAGCGCCGCCAATCCACTTCTCACTCCAGCGAGAGGGAAGGTTAACAGAAGGATTTCCTCCCAACATGGCTTTTAGATTTGCTGCACGGGGCTGTGAGGGGAGGCCTCCATTTACGCGGCGCGGACACAGGCAACGCGTGGGGCTGGAACGGAGCAAAAGGCTCCGGGAAGGCTCAGCACAACTAACAGGTTAAGCATATCATAAATTAATCCATGATTAATGCCGGTTATGACTGCTGTCACAGCGACGTCCCTCAGCAAAGTCCAAACGCAGAAGCAAATGTGTTGATCTGCATTTTGGTTGGCGGAGGGGACACGGAACCACTGAGGCTCAGAGCATCCCTCTCAACCCGGAGTAAGGCTTTTGTACATCTTACGGCTCTCAATTGCCCCTTCAAGACTCAGCCACCACAAAAGGCTTTGCACGGTAAGTGGGGCAGCCCAGAAGACAAGCTGGCTGGTGAGATGGCCCATTCACACCTCCAGCCCCCCACCTTCTTCGAGGCAAGCAGCCCAAATTAAAGGGAACAGGGAAGTCTGAGCCGATGGCACACGAGGGAGGGATTCATCATCCTCACCAGATCCCCTCATTTTAACCCTCTGAGTTGCGGCTCCGCTGAAAGTATTGTTGTTCCCCATGGACCAGACTGAAGTGGACGCAAGAGTCTCTCATAGGGAACAGCTCAGAGAACAAAAGCAAAACTCCTTTGCAATGTCTCCAGAAGAGAAAAAAAGGTACAGAAGATGCTTAAGCCCATTTACTCAGAGAACAGTCCGTCTGGTAAAGGCAATTTTGGGCAACGAGATAGACCAGAAACACTGAAATCAACCACCCAAGCACTTTGCATATAATCTGAACCACCCGAGGATGACTGAGCGGGGTATGTTGTCTTGATCCTTTTTGGCATCTGTATACTGATCGTTTTTAGATTTAAATATTGTCTTTCAACGATGTAAGCCTCCTTGGCTCCTTCTTCAGGGGAAAGGCTGGGTGAAAAGATTTTAAATAAATAAATAAATAAATACAATACAATACACACACACAAACCATCCACAACTGGCCGGCTAATTCAGCAATTCTTTCCTAGGGACATAAACATCAGCTCGGGAAGGGGCCACATCATTTCCACTCAAATAAGCACATGGTTCTTACTCAAACCCTAGAGAAGAAATACCCGGAAGGAACAGCTGTCACACTATAGCGTGACTGCTTTTTAGGAATAAGTCCAGATGGATTTAGCCTGTTGTCCAATGGTGGCCTTTGAATTGTGGTGCTGGAGGAGGCTCTTGAGAATCCCCTGGACTGCAAGGAGAACAAACCTATCAGTTCTAAAGGAAATCAACCCTGAGTGCTCACTGGAAGGACAGATCCTGAAGCTGAGGCTCCAATCCTTTGGCCATCTCATGAGAAGAAAAGAGTCCTTGGAAAAAACCTTGATGTTAGGA